ACCTAATATAAATATAAGTAAAACTGAATACGATATATAAAAGCAATTAATTAAAATGTATTAAAAGAATTTAATTAAAGATGTTCAATGCATTGTAATACGTGCCGTAATTTTTATGTTCAGGACAGCATGTACAAAGATTTGAATCAGTAAATATTTGTTTATATGCATTTGTGCTAGAACTTGCATTGTATTTGTGTATATTCACATCTGTAATAAAAAGCCAATTCCTTATTTGTGTACGTAATTGTTCTTAAATATCAATAAAAATTGTATGTTTTATACATTTTAACTTAATTATAAAACACTACAATAATCAACTAAAAATAATTTAAAAATAAAGCTATTAATAAAAGTTAGAATTAAATATAGAAAATCGGATTATTCTTATAATATATTTTTCAATTATAGTATTATTGCCAAATATCTTAACATGTATATAACTAAAACATGTATATAACTAAAAACTAATAACACACTAACAAGTAAAAGTACCTTTTTGGGAATATTTTTGCTGCTCATTAGCAGTATATACTCTTATATTTGAAGATCCAGGTACGTTATTAGAACAATCATCATATGTTTCTTTAACACTTGTGTTCTCTTTTCCAGTTCTACACATTTCTAAGAAATTAATTAAAGTTAATACAATTCTTTGTACTTACTTACGTTAGATATTGAAATAACAAATAACTTACGTAATGGTCTACTTTCATTATTATTGAAAGAATCATGTCGCATATCTGAAATATATATTACATAGTTAAATAAAATGCAGGTATATCTGTTAGGTCAGATTATATCTGATCTTTATGTAAATACGTTCAAACAACTACCGAATGAAATATTTTTGGAAAAAGTATTTTTCTGCGATTGACTCTCTTCAACACATGTGTTTACTGTTCCACTTCTTCTAGAAATCTTTTCTGAAAAATAAACAAATTATTAAAATAATATGATATAATCATATAATAATTTGTTTGTATATTGTAAGCCATACATTATTGAAATAATAAATAAAAACTTACTCAATGTATTGATTTCTGTGTCAGAATGTTCTTGGAAATCTAGAAAACAAAATATATCGATATATTTTTAATGATCCAAAAATCAATATATACGTGCATCTTCGTATCTGACTTGTCTAATAATCTCATGTAAAAACTTACAAAAATTGATTCTTAAGTATTTCTTTTAAAAAATATATATGCAGGAAGCTATAAATGTAAAAGAAATGCCTAATCATACCTGGTGGGGATGGTAACATTGTATTATCAGTATCAGACTCAAATTCTGAACTATCACTCTCATAAATGCGATTCTTTTTTTTAATAGTTCGTTTTTTATGATAATCTGAACTTAAATCTGAAGTATCTTCAGCCTTTTTAGCTTTTAGTCTACAAGCTTGATAACTTTCTGAAACAACAAGTTTTAATTTTTAAATGTTTAGTTTATTAAAAGAATTGTTAAATATTGTATAATATTCCATAAAAAACATATTACAGAACATATTTCAGCAATATTTCATTAATAATCATAAAAATATTGCAAATATTGCAATAATATTGATATATTACTGCAAAATAATCTCTAATATTATGTTAATATTAGAATAATTTCTAATATTATGTTTTGTATGGGATTTGTTGTAAAGCTGTAATATATATTTTGTTTCTTACCCGAAGTACTATTTTTGAAGACGTACACTTCATAACTCGTCCATGACGAATCAAAATCAATATGATCTTTTATCGCTTTTAAAATCTTTTCTTTTGTATACGGTGGCCAGTAACATTTGCCACTAGCAATCCAATTTGTTGGCACTGCTTCCACAACATTTTCATCTTTAAACCTTACAACTGTCCAGGTTTTCGTCATTTTTTCTTTAGTAACAAATATACTCGCAAATTGTCCTCGCAAATTGTATAAGAGTATACACTGTACTCCATAAATAATAAATAACGGAATAAATGAAAAAAACTCTACAAGAAAGATAACGAAAAGCAAATTATTTTATTGCAATATTTATTAAGAACCTTTGTAAGAAGTAATTGATCACATGTACATTATATACTAAAAAATATTATTCGTCAGATTTTGAATGTAGTAACGGAATGATTACATGTATATCTTTGAAAGATAATTTAACACATTTGTTACATATTTCATCGAGTCGCCATAATGTAGGTGGTCCTAAATTTTTTACCGCATATATACCCAAACATGATGATTTACAAGGTTTTATATAAAAATCTTTAAGCAATAAAAATTCTTGAGCTATTATTAATATGCCATCAGTAGTAGATATTATATTTTTTAAAATGATTATTTTATTATTGACTGTGGTACAACAATTGTCTGGTTCGGTTATTTTTAATACGAATTTATTTAAAATTATTTCTTTATATTGCGCAAGAAAGGATATGTTATTTATTATTGGTCCCATGTTATGTTGTTTTTTAAGAGTTGGCAAGGAATGCAATAGATTGTCAGCCGACGAAACAGTATTTAATTCATATTTACGACGAATTATTTGTTGTAATGGTTTTTCGGGTTTCCTTATTAATTTCTTTAATGATTGTAAGTAATTTTCAAATACAAATGCACTAAACTGATCTAATGCTCCAAATCTAGCAACATCATCACAAATATGTAACAAATTATGTACGTTGTGAGAGACCTGATGCTTACCATACAAAATTATAAATGTTTTGACAAAATATTGCATCAGAGATTTTGCGTAATCTAAATACTTTTTAGAAGAATTTGGTTTGCATAAGATGGAAGTGGCTATGTGTATAGATAGAAAGTTCAAATATCTGTCATGACTAATAACAGATTTAAGAACTATGGGGCCTGTATACAAAAGGAACTGTCGAAATTCTGTTGCCTTCCACCGTTTGACTTCATGGAGACTACGAGGTTTACGATTAAATTCTGTTGTTATATTGCATGCTAGATCAAGTAATGACTTAGAAATATTAGATATTTGATTGTATGACAGTTTTGTTGATGGATTTCCATGAACCCAAAACATAAGCAATTTTTTTACAACCCCGAGACAAATAAGATGCATATAATCTAAGGGAAAGTTATGTATCATGTCAAAATCTAAAATTGATTCTAAAATTGTAGTGCCTACATGATGACTTTTCTGATGCTTACGTCGAAATTCATTGTCAGAACGCAAAGCCAAGTTATCAATATTGGGAAAACAGATACGATCATTAATAAATGCTCCTCGTTCATAGCATTTTGTACATGAAGAATACCCTGAATGACCCTTAGTATAAGTGATAAATGATTTTGCAGGTGCATCGCAAATAAATGCTTTCACTTTTACTGAATATAATTTTGTGTTGTAATATATACCATTACATATAACATTATTTATGTCATTTACTAAATATGTTAAAAAAACATTTGCATTGCTGGGTTTTGCATTTCCATGATATATCCCAACAATTTCAACATTTGAAGTAGCAAAAATACAGCATAATATAGGATATAACTGACTACTTGTACTTTTAGCAATCGGTAAACCATCAATATTGATTAAAATCTCTATACAATTCGAAGTAAAACAATTATTGGTTTTTAACAATAGATTTTTGATACAGTTCTCTAGTCCAAAATGATAATATATGCCAGGCTCTACATATTTAACATTTATTTGCCTCGGGGTTCTTAATAAGGTCCTAGCATCTAACGGAAGCTCAGGATGATCTGGTTTTAAAGTAATTAGTAAATTGTTAATAGCTAAATGATCAATGTTATGTAACATTGCCCATTCCCTTATTCTTGAAATAATATTTTTAGCATGTAAATTATATATATTGTTATTTAAACTATTATGTTCATTACAATTTACAGATAAATCATTTAAAACGGAAATATTTGATACCAATTCATCAAATATTTCAGTGTCAGATATATATGAAAACTCATTTTCAGATACACTGATAGGTAAATTATGTTGTTCATTGCATGTGTCTGTACAAGTATTAGTAGAAGTTGATGCAACAGCATGTAAATCCAAAGTAGAAGTTGATGGTACAGTATGTAAATTCAGATTTTCTGCAATAATTGAATTGGTGGCAACAGAATTTTCTGCCAGATAATTACTACAAATAAAAGCCAAATTTGCTTTTTCGCTTGCTTTTCTATATACACTTCTGCGTTTTAATGATCTACCTTTATTATTCATATTATAAGAAATTGTGTAAATCACAAAGTTTAGATTTTACTAATAGTCTTTCTTATTCAATTTGGAGGTTAACATAGAGTATAAAATATTTTCTTTATATAATATTTCAGATTTTTCTTCTTCAAAGAGAAAGAACACTCTAAAATAGTTCGTTATATATTAAAATTATAGTATTCATATTCATGTATAAAATACAAGGAACATATATCTTGCAGATAAAATTGAAAAGTTTCGTACAAAACCAAAGAAGTCCATTTAAAAAAATTCAGGATTATTGTGCCAAATCATAATTCCTTATCAGTAATAACACGATTATAAACAAATTTGTTCCAGCAAGAATCAAACAGACAATAGGAAATAGGTAGTAGATATTCAATTTCAACAAGAATCTAACTAAAGTTTTTTTTTCTTTTAAATAAATCTTGAAAATATTAATTATCAAACTGTACAACTTTATTCTTGTATGTATAATATTATATGCCCAGATAAAATTACCATTTTAATATAATAATAAAATGAGTTTTTTTTCCTAAAAATTTAACTTTTTATACGTACTTCTTTAGTTTTGTTCTTTAATTTTAGATAATATAAAAATATACTTGCTGTATCTAGTAATCAAAAGAGACACAATCAAGAAATAATCAGTGGGATGTACTTTCTCTCGTAAATATCTAGCTGCTATGTAGATATCGTAAACATCTGCAGTAATTTTTTTCAACCATATAGGCAATAAATGTGGCTCTTCTGCACCTGCATTATAAATAAAAATGTATTTTTATTCATATACTTATAGATGAACTGTGCACAAAAAAACCATATCAAAAATATTCTCAAATTAAAATTAATATTTATTTCTATAATCAGTATTTTCTGCAGTAAAAGCAAAAAATTCTATTCTTGCTTATGTATGAAATCATAATAGTCCAAGAAATTGTATTAAAAACGATATACATATATAAATCTTACAAGAAATATGTATTATATATAATAAGCTTACATATAAAAGGTAGAATTCGAAAATACGTTGTAATTACATATTTCACGTTATTCAGCAACAGAGCAAATGATGGTATAAAGTATATATAATATTTATAAGTAAACTATGAAATTGTCTCACGCTACGCTATGATTGAGGTTATTTTTGTTAAGGAAGGTGTATAGCAAATATAAATAATTCAGTTTGAAACATGTTCAAACAGGTTGATTCAATATGTAAAATTAATGTCAAATAATATCAGATTTTCGTCATTAATTAATTCAACGTCGAATATTTTTCTGGATTTATATTTGTTGTCCTCCTTGTATACTTTTTTTAACCTCAAAAATAACCTCAACGTAGGCATGAAATAATTTCATAGAAATATTTCTTAAACTTTATATGTACCATCATCTGCATTGATCTCTTGCGTTGAATTACGTCAAATGTGTAATTAAAACGCACTTTCAAATACTATCGTTTGTTAACATATATAATGTTTTGCAAAATTATCTTTCTCTTATATATATATCTTGCTTATATGTACGAAATAATGCCAAAAATATCTAACTCTTTTATCATTATTATCGTATAAAGCTAACGGTATACAATATAATTTTTCATATCGAAATTGAAAAAGAAAAAGGATTACTTATAATAAAAATCGATTTCGATGATGCGGATACTTCTTCTTCGTCTTTTCCTTGTGGGACCTACATCCAGGCGGGTATAATACGGCCCAATTTCCAAACGTACTGCACGTGAGATTCAGTCGTAGGCACGATG